CATATCAGTCTCTTCGCGATCTTCATTTAATTTTTCCGTGATTTTCGCGACTGAAAGTTCAAATCCGCGACTATTCTGCGAAAATCGCGAGATCCGTGAAATCCGATTCGCGAAATCCGCGCCTGTTGTAACATCCCTGAAATTATCAAGATCTGATTTGAAATCGATTGAGCTTGGTGGAGCAAAAACGATATTTTCAACCACCCTACTGTCTACGTAGTGTATGAACAGTCCCTTTGAAGCGCAGGAAAATTATCTAAAATTCCCAAGACTTCTCTGGAGTTCACTAAAATCCTCTGAAAATACCTGAACTTCTCAGAGAACTTCTTAGAGCACCAGAGAGCTAATGAAAAGAAGAAGCTGTGAATTTTGTAGTACTTCGAAGAGGTACAACGAACTTTAGATAGATTCAATAGTGTTCAAGAGAGGGTCCAGTTCACAAAATATATGCTTCAGAGAGGTCCAGAGTGCTTCGGAGTGAATTTATCAGCCAAGATCACTTGCATTAAAGTGCTGATCATACAAAAAATGTTAGCTACACATAATTAGGCGCTGAAGCGACAGTCTCAACAAATCGATCAGCCTTTTTTATACTAGAGAATGCATCGCTATGAGAAATAGTGGAAGTATCAAAAAAGGGTCATCAGGGGTCTCAGATAACCTATTAAATTAAGGCACGGTATTACCAAGCCGGAGATTCCCGGGTTAGATTCCCGGTACAATCTAGACCAAAGCAACACGGTTTGTCATTAAGAAAATGAAAATGCTGTTAAATGACACATGTAAAGAATCAAAATTTCTTAAAGCAACCATAATGTCCTCCATTTTGATTTGATTGATACTAAAGTCTCTTGTAAATTCTGGGAATTTTGAAAAATATTCCCGATCGCGATCTTTATCAGAAAAAGTGGCGTTGCAATTTTTTTTCCGAGTTATCACCTTCCTTTTCGTCAAAATTCATTCTTGATAGAAAGTTGTATGATTTTAATTTAGTAATTTAACTTAGTTAAAGACAATTTTTGACAAGATTTGATTTCAAGTTCTGTTCTTGCATTGTACTCTTCAAATGCAATTTTTTTTTCCTTTGGTTTGTTTTTTCCGTCGATCTTGTTTTCCGTGCTGAACACCAATGCTACCGACGTGCCAGGAAGGCAGCTCCCACACCTGGACCCTACCTATCGACCCATCAACTCATGAACCGGGGACCAACGGCTTTACTTCCCATCCGAAGGAAGGCGTGATCAGAGATGTTATGCAAATTTTCAAATAGTTATCCAAATTACCATTGTTGTTATACCTTTTATAAATGTTATGTGCTTTCTGTTTTCGGTTTATTAAAGTTTTGATTTGTCTATTGAACCAAACTGGATTCTTTGAGTTGTCCTGACGCCTTCTTCTCTTTAATGATACTTCAACAAGTATTCCTTCAAATAATATTTTAGAGAAGATGTAAACAGCATTTTTGACATTTTCTTCATTCCTCAAAATTATTTGCCAATTTACACTACCTAATCTGTGCCTTATGCTGTCGTAATTTGCTTCATGAAAAGATGGTGGCTTGACAGTGCCGTCAACGCCGATTTGGAAAGAACAGAATCTCTTCAAGAGCTTCATACATTCAATTAAGATTGATTTTGCATTCGACATGTTTCGTAGTGGTATTGAAACTTAATACCTTTATTAAGCGGAATTAAATGGAAGATAACCTTTTTTGCTGTTTTAGTTAAACATTCTGCTAACAACCCAATTTCATTACTTCATAATGATGGCTACCAAGTCTTTGGGATGGGGGGGGGGGGGGGGAGCTTGAGTATCTGAGACGAAAATGCCAACAAAGGATCAATTTTCTCCGAACAATTACCGGAACGTGGTGGGGAGCTCATCCGCAAGATCTTCTAACGTTGTACCGGACAACGATTTTATCGGTTTTAGAGTACGGTAGTTTTTGCTTCCAGTCGGCGGCTAAAACTCACGTCATCAAACTGGAACGTATCCAGTATCGTTGTCTTCGTATCGCGTTAGGATGCATGCACTCGACTCATACGATGAGTCTCGAAGTGTTGGCGGGCATGTTGCCACTATCGGATCGGTTTTCGGAATTGTCCCTCAGGCTCCTCACCCGTTGTGAAGTTATGAACCCACTGGTAATCGAAAACTTTGAGAAGCTTCTTGAGCTAAACCCTCAAACTCGTTTTATGTCATTGTACTACGTGTACATAACTGAGGATGTCAGCCCTTCACAGCATAATCCCCATCGTGTATGCTTCTCCGACTTCGGCAATTCAGTTAGTTTCGATTTTTCTATGACGCGGGAGATTCGTGGAATCCCAGAACATCATCGTTCCATGATTGTTCCGTCAATTTACGCTGCAAAGTTTAGCCAAGTTGATTCCGCAAGATCGTTCTTCACAGATGGATCACTAATAGAGTCGTCCGCTGGTTTTGGTATTTTTAACGAATTTCATAGCGCCTCTCGAATGCTTCAAGCTCCTTGTTCCGTATATGTTGCTGAACTGGCGGCAATATATTATACACTAGAAACGATCGCCTCACTTGCACCAGATCACTATTTTATTTTTACGGATAGTCTCAGTTCTGTCGAGGCTATTCGCTCTATGAGGCCGGTAAAGCACTCCTCGTATTTTCTCATGAAAATACGAGAGCTTTTAAGTGCTTTATCTTTAAGATCTTTTGTCATCACCTTTGCATGGGTCCCATCTCATTGCTCGATTCCGGGCAATGAGATGGCTGACTCACTTGCTAAGGTGGGCGCTATGCAAGGCGATATTTACGATCGACAAATCGCCTACAATGAATTTTTCTTCATTTATCGTCAACAGTCGCTCACCAGCTGGCAAAATAAATGGAGTGAAGGAAGTTTGGGACGACGGCTATTCTCGATCATCCCTAAGGTGTCGAAGAGTCCTTGGTTCAAGGGGTTGGATGTGGGTCGAGACTTCATTCGTCTGATGTCTCGCCTCATGTCCAATCACTATTCGTTAAACGCTCACTTGTTTCGTGTTGGGCTGGGAGACAGCAATCTCTGTGAATGTGGACAAGGTTACCAAGACGCCGATCACATCCTTTGGTCTTGTGCTGAGCATCGTGGAGTCAGATCTGAGCTGTGCGATTCCCTTCGGGCTCGAGGTAGACAACCTAATGTTCCAGTTCGGGATATTTTGGCTAGACGTGATCTGGAGTTTATGAAACTCATATATGTTTACTTTAAGAATACTAACCTTAGATTGTAAGTTTGATTAACCTTGTGTTTAGTTTGTGTATTGTGCGTGTAGTTTTTTTTTTAATGTTTGTTTTCAAGATGAATAGAAATAAGTTCATGTTTTAGGATTAATTAAATATTTGTATAATAAATCATATTTCAAACCTCCTTCTCCCTTTCCCCATCCAAAAAATTGTAAATCTCCACTAACCTCGAGACGACCGCGAGTAATCGGTTCAATTCCTTTAACTCTAGATTTAAGACATTAATCATGTATAATGAAAATGATAACTCGGCTCTGTAAAGTTTATTCGATTGAGCCTGTACAAATAAATTAATATAAACAAAAAAAAGTCTTTGGGATTTTTGAATGAGGAGAAGAAGAAAGAGAAAATACGAAGAAGAAGAAGAAGAAGAAGAAAAATACGAAAAAGAAGAAGAAGAAGAAGAAGAAGAAGAAGAAGAAGAAGAAGAAGAAGAAGGAGATCAAAGATTCAAATATTTTCAAACGATTGATTACACCACAATTCTATTCATAACTTTCTTCTTCTTTCTTCGCATTTCAAGCTTAATGCTTATCGCATTTTTTAGCTTATTGCGTGCTCTCAACTTAGTGTTCTAGATGCACTTCCACAGTTATTAATTGAGAGCTTTCGATGCCTGTGCCATTTTTGCATTGGTATAATTGTGTGGCAAGTACAATCATATTCTATGCCCAGGGAAGTCGAGAAATTTTCCAACCCGAAAAATTCCTAGACCGGACCGGGAATCGAACCCAGCCACCTCCAGCATGGTCTTGCTTTGTAGCTGCGCCTTTACTGACTGAGCTAAGGAAGGCCCAATTCATAAGCCAATAGTATTTTGTTTAAATTCAGCGAAAATGTCAGACATTGTCGTCGCCTTCGAAACAGGTGTTTGTTTGTAGAGCCCTTTTTCTTGGTACTATTCGCAATTTCTAAAGCTCTAATCTTAAGATTTAAAATCATCTGAAAATTGCACTGATATTCTGCAATAAATTACAGGAAAACTGTTAAAATTCACCGAACTGTTTACTGAACGTTCAGCTGTTGAGATTTTGGTCAAATTTCTCAGAAATCTGTGAAATAATCTTGGTGTGTGTGTTGTTGTCTTCTAGAAATTTGTGTGTTTTTGAAGAAGAATGTTTTTTTTCGAAAGCCGTGAAAAAATCAATTAAACAAAATGTCAGCCTCAAATTGATTTTATGGGGCTTTCATAAAAAAACCACCATATCTCACTGGAAGCGACAAATTCGCAAATTTTATGGAAATGATGCTTTCTTCAACTTTGTAAAACATTTTAAGCTGTCAAGCAAAAAAGTTAGATTTTTAAGCAACGTAGCGATCTAGGAAATTAAATTTATGGACGAGTCCTTGATTAGATGCGCCTTAACCTAAATAAAAACACTTCCGGTGTCACCAAATTGATTAAACATCATTTTTGTGCACTTTTTTAGTTTGTACCTGAAATTTGCCCTTTTGCACCACACTGAAAAATTTGTCAAAATGTATACAAAATGTAGGATAAGAGGGACATAGTGAACAGGTGGGGCATAGTGAGCATCCCGTGCACCAGCTTGGACTTCCGGCCGTTTGGAACAAATTGGTTGGCATAATAATATTGATCCTACTACCAATTGATTTGTTTCATGCAGCTGGAGATCCAGACCCTAAGTGCGGAAAGTTCACTATGCCCCACCTGTTCACTATGCCCCTCCTTCCCCTACATAACTCCTAAGTTTTACTATACACTTTTAACTTACCCGCACAAAAATTAACACTTTGGTATCTCCAATACGATATTTTCCCTCTGATACTCGTACCATGGGGAACTGAGACGGGCAGGTGCACTTTTCCACCAGATCTCGAACCTGAAAAAGAGCAGACACAATAAAATTATTAGAATATGTTCATTATTCCGACATGCAGTAGAGAGACAGAACCAGTGATTGCATCAAGCAGGTAACAGCAATCTCAGCAGACGACCGTAGTTTAACTGGACTTGTAAGAATCAGAACCTGTTTGAGAATTAGTGTCTTTCGGTACGTATCATAATAAATAACGTCATAGAAATATTTGCGATAGCTGTAAAATGCCTCCTACATAAAGTACTCTTGTTATTGTGTATATAGATAGGGAAGAGCGGGGTTAGTTATTCGACGGGACTTGCTGATCACTAACGACATCTCGAAAATTATACATATAAATATTGGGAAGGAATATCAATCAGTACAAATATCATCTTGTTGAATGTGGAGAGAAGCTCGTACGTAACGATGTTTGATTAATGGGAAATAATCCAGGATTGTATGTATGATTATTTGTCTAAGAAGTATTTTTCTCTTTCATACAATTTGTTTTACCACTTCGCATTTTCTTGGGCACCGTAAAACGAGGTATCTTTGATAATGCGGTAACTTTGATAATAGAATATAATAATTAAATTTACTCAATACACTATTTCCGAATTGGAAACATTGGTTTCATTTTGTAGCTTTGGGTATTAACTTTGAGTTGAGTTTTCCTGATTGAAAAGGCACTCAAACAATGACTTATTAAGTGTATTCAATATTGTCTTCTTATTGCTTATTATGATTCTGAATGTTATACTCAATCAAAATTTCATATTTCGTGAACTAAAAGATTCACGCATGTTTTTCTACATTCATTTAGTATTATCAAAGTTAAAAAAAACTGATGATCGGTCAAAGGCAAATAAAATATTGCAATAATTTACGTTAAACATATTACTAAAGAATTGGCTCTAGTACTTGTTTGAAAAAAATTAAATTTGAAAAACATTAGTTTGTAAATTAATTGATGTAAATCATATTTAGAATATACTTCTATTTTTTTATTATAATTACTTTAACACTCTTGTGTCATTTGTGACTTGTCTGGGGGTGAGATTTGAACTCGTGACTTTGGCGTGAGAGGTATGGATGCTAACCACTACGCCGGGGTCGCTCCCTAATATATATACTTCTAAACTAAACTAATCAAAGGGGTTGTAACGCATGAAGTTTAAAATGTATTTAAGTGATTGCTGCAGATTAATTTTCAACACGCGAGGTAGAAAAGTTCCGTTAATCATGTTTCGAATGTAAAAACTCCCCCTCGGGTTTTGCATCGAACACGTTTTACCTGTGGTTTTACCTTTCAATGGCGAACTAAAAATTATAAATTCTCTCAAATAATCAATTTTCGCTTCAAGGCGCTATTGTATTGTTCGCTTTATTCTTACGTTTTCACGTCCATTAAAGAAATCCATCACATGTTTTTAGAGTAAAATAGTACACAAATCCACCAAGATCAGTCAAAACTGGACCTACCCAAAATGGGTAAACTAAGTTAGGAGTGACAAGTTGACAAATGAACAACATCTATCGAAATCAGGTTGATGTTGTCTATTTGTCAGCTTGTCACTCCCAACTTACTTCACCGATTTTTGTGTAGGTTCAGTTTGACCGATCTGGCCAAAAGGCCGAAAGACAGAAGGTCGAAATGACAAAAGGCCGAAAGACAAAATGTTGGAAGACAAAGGTCAAAAGGGACAACAAACGAAAGGGTTGAAAATGTCGAAAGGACAAAGGGTTCAAAGGCCAAAAGCTGATGTAAATATTATGAAACTTATTTGTTATGAGTTCAAACAAATTCTCAAAAGAAAATACTATTTCCCTTTTACTGTAATGTTGGATGAGATATTAGAATCTCATTTTTTTCTGAAAATTTTCCTTCTTTTATACGTGAGCTGTGCGGATAAAATATCAATACAATTTACTCTTCTTTAAACTCATTCTTAAAAAAAAAAGTTTTGAGATTTCACCCTTTTGTCCTTTCTCAACTTTTTTCATAGATTCATAATAGAAAGGCAAATATTTAATAATTTTTATATTATTAGCTTTATTCTCAAAACAGATCAACTAGCTCCACTTTACCCTATAAAGCTACTAATGATGTTAGTGTAGGAAGAAACAAAACAAGAATAGGTTTTTCTATTTTTTTGTTATGCAACATTCACATATCTATCTCATCCCACTGCGAACTAGCAAGAAGTACAGTCGACTTGTTTCGCGCTCCGGTATTTCGGAAGTTTTCTCGGTATTCGGTTGGTTTAAATTATCAGTTTTTTCTCGCTTAGTGATTACTGGCATAGTACCCGGCTAAACAATTATCTGAAAGTGAGTTTTTTTCTGAGAAGAAAGTGTGTTTTCGGCATCATCAGAAGGAAAATTGTTTTTGCGATTGCCAATTCGCCAACCATTTTGCCATCGGTGCGTGATCACGCATACCTGCACACAGATCATCGTCATCGAGTGTCAGCATCTGCCTCCGCATTTATACCGGTCATCCATCATCGTGTGTCCAGCTGAGTGCCGAGCCTAATACAAGCACACCACTACAAAGATCGCCCGCACACGCGCATCGAAGGTCACCCACGCTGCGCGTCGCTCCGCTGCTGCTGTGTAATCACTCGGTGGTAGTAGTATAGCAGATAAGTTTTTTTTCCTGTTTCTTTCTCTCGCCCATCAGTTAAATTTAATTTTGTGTTTCTGTGTTTGTAGTTTTTTTCTGTTTATTGTGTCTGTGTGGGTTTAAGCATCGTTTCAGTGGTAGAGCGTTTACCACTCCCACTAGTACGGCAAAATGGACGTCTCGTCAGAAGATGATATGGACATTTTGTCGGAAGATGACACCAGTTTGCCACTCGATGGCAAGAAAAGACGAAAACGTCCTATCATTCATGGTTCGTCTCAGAAAAGCCACCGATCGCGAGCCTATCCAGATGACTCGACTGGGCCATGGGTTGTCTACTTTCAGCCCAAAAACAAACCTTTGAACTTGATGCAAATTTCCACTGATCTGACGAAGCGATACTCGGCCGTGACCGAAATCACGAAGGTTAGGCATAATAAACTTCGTGTTGTCGTTTCTAACCTGAAGCAGGCTAACGAGATTGCTGCCTCCCAGCTCTTTACGATTGAGTACAGGGTTTACATACCAGCTCGTGATGTGGAGATCGAAGGTGTGGTCACCGAAGCGAGTCTGACCCCCGAGATCTTGGAGAAGCAGGCGGTTGGCCGTTTCAAGAACTCCTTGCTCCCCCCGGTGAAGATACTGAATGTCCAAAAACTGGGCTCAGTATCTGTCAGCGAGGGTAAAAAGAGTTTTACCCCCACAGACTCGTTTCGCGTGACCTTTTCTGGTTCAGCCCTTCCTCAGTACATCGAGTTGGGAAAACTTCGGCTACCTGTGCGCTTGTTTGTTCCTCGGGTCATGATCTGCCAAAACTGCAAACAGTTGGGACATACGGCCTCTCACTGTGGCAGCAAGGCACGCTGTTCCAAATGCGGGGAGAAGCACGAGGATGGCGCCTGTACAGTCACGGCACCAAAATGCGTGTACTGCAAAGGATCTCCTCCTCATGGTCTCTCGTCGTGTCCGGTGTACAAACAACGCGGGGAAAAACTAGAGCGCTCTCTTAAAGAACGTTCCAGGCGGTCTTTTGCAGAAATGCTTAAGACAGCCAAGCCATCGACCAACGAAACAAATCCCTTCGCTCTTTTGTCAGATGACGAGTCTGGCTCTGACTTGGCTGAGGAGGGAGTTTCTTTCAGTTTTCCGGAAGGTTCTGCCCGGAAACGAAAACGCATCCGTTCGCGGAAAGTTGCAGATCAAGAACCCCAAATCAGCTTGCCCAAATCAAGGAGTGGTGGAAAAAAGGAGACTTCTACTCCTCCTGGATTCCGCAGAACTGATTATACCCAGGATTTTCCACCTCTCCCGGGGACATCCAAAACCCCCGAAGCCCCAATTTTCAGAACACAAGCCCCTTCTTCATCTGGGTTGTTCTCATTTGATAACATTGTGGACAGTATCCTCAATTACCTCGATATTTCTGATCCTCTGAAAAGCATTGTTCTGGCAATGCTTCCTACTGTGAAAACCCTCTTGAAGCAGTTGACATTGAAGTGGCCCCTCCTTGCAGCAATCATCTCCTTCGATGGATAATTTTCCAAACGAGGTCGGGGATTTGATCACTGTTCTACAGTGGAATTGTCGAAGTCTTATTCCTAAGATAGAATCGTTTAAGTTTTTGGTTCACAATAATGATTGTGATGCATTTGCTCTGTGTGAAACTTGGCTCTCTTCAGATATCGATCTTCCTTTTCATGATTTTAACATTATTCGACTGGATCGTGAAGATTCGCGTGGAGGAGGAGTACTTTTGGGGATCAAAAAGTGCCATTCCTTCTATAGAGTGAATCTTCCACAATTGCCAGGTATTGAAGTTGTCGCATGTCAGGCTATTATTAAAGGCAAGAGCCTTTGTATTGCTTCTGTGTATATTCCTCCCCGAGTTTCGATTAGTCAAAAACAACTTTCAGATATCTGTTCAGTACTTCCTGCTCCACGGTTGATTATGGGAGATTTGAATTCCCATGGTACAGGCTGGGGGGAACTGTATGATGACAACCGTTCTACTTTGATATATGACCTCTGTGATAACTTCAATATGACGATTCTTAACAATGGAGAAGTAACACGTCTGGCTGGTCCATCCTCAAATGGAAGTAGATTAGACCTCACACTTTGCTCTAATTCATTATCGTTGGATTGCACGTGGAATGTGATCCAGGATCCCCACGGTAGTGATCACTTGCCGATCGGCATTTCGATTGCCAGTGGGTTCAATTCGTCGGAATCCGTTAACGTCGCGTACGACCTCACCCGTAATATCGATTGGACAACGTTCAAGACCGTGATAGATGAAGCCGTGTCGTCGGTAGAAGAGCTTCCACCGTTGGAGGAATATAACTTCCTCTCCAATCTGATCTTGGACCTCGCGCTTCGAGCTCAAACTCGGCCG